CACACCTGGCTAATCCCGGCGTGAGTCTGGCTGCAGGCGATGTGGGGAGCGCGCCTGGGCTCCCGGGCGCACTCACTCTGGATGTGGCCCAGGGTCAGGTGTACGTGCACTCTCCCGCTGTGGTTCTGGTCCCGCTGGCTAGCTAGCGGCTGGCGGGCCTGGCCGGCTGCGCCTCTCTGGAGACGGCAGGTGTAAAGACTTCTCTGATGCTGGCTGTAGCTGATAGCTACACACTTCTCTGGAGCGGAGAGCTTCTTCTGCTACTAGAGTATTATCTAGTCGGGATTCCGCCTCTTTTACACCCTTATGCCCTTCCTCAGGATTGCGGAGTCCTGGCCAGTGAACTCCACAGGGAAGAAACACGGAGGCGGCGAAAGCTAGGATATCCGTGGGTCGGTAACGGAGAGTGCTGCTCTCCGGTGAGATCAGGTCGCCGGTAGTAAGACACAGGACTCAAGGCACGGCTTAGTCTGTGTTTACTGCTTTATTGTATCTCTGCTCCTTGCTGTCCAGCGCTCTGCTGATCCAGCTTTCTGGGACCCAATCTCCGGGTCTCTGACCTGATCTCCCAGTCTCTGGCCTGATCTCCGACTATTAAGAGAAGACTAGCATATTTATATACCATGGGGGTAGTGGTAAAAGCTTTTAGATACTTTGTGAGATATTCTATTTACATGTGGAAGTGGGTTTCTGCTAGACTATTGTCTACCTGTAAAAATCACACACAGGAAGGCATGGTATGCATAGAGCCAAAGGCCATGTTTATGTCAAGGCATCGGCCACTTCAAAGGGAGAGACAGGAAAGATGCCAGAAAGCACCTTGCTATGAAAAGGAGCCCGTGGCACATTCCCCGAGCTGCATGAGCTGTCCGGTGTGAAGGGGCTTCGACTTTTGCATAACAGAGGTCTCCCAACAGTAGGAAGATCAGGAGTTCAAGACCAGCTTGGGTAATAGTGAGTTTGAGGCCAACCTAGGCTACATGAAACCCTATCTCAAAAACCAAATCTAAAATTTTCCATTTTTGCTTTAGTTTGATCTGAAATGTGTCTCAAAGTTCTGCATGTTAAGGATTTGGTCCCCACTCTCACTGTGGGGTGACAATGAAAACTTTAAAAGGTAGGGCCTACTGGAAGGTCTTTGGTCATTGGAGGTACGCATTAGAAGCAGATTGTGGGCTGCAGTGGTTTGTTCCACTACACCCTTCCTACTATGGTATCCTTAATCCCCATAGGCCCAAAAGTAATGTGGCCGTATTAGACTGAAATCTTTAAAACCTTGAGCCAAAATAAGCCTTTTCTCTCTCTCAATCTCTTAGATATTTATTATAGTAACAGAAAGCTGACTCCCTTTTCAGAATTGAGAATATACCTGTGGGAAAAGAAAAAACTCCACCCTCATGGAGTACAGTGTTCAGAAAATCTAAACCAGAACTACCAGTTTCCAATTCACTCAGATCTCCATTCTTCTCTATTCATTATTATTTTCGTAGCATTCTTTTCAATGACATGCTCCCAAATAAAACAGTATCATCCTGCTTCTAGAATGATAAGCCTAGTGTGTGGGAAACCCACACTAATCTAAATACACTTTAACATAAACAATAGGCTCCAAGGAGAATCCATTCACCTGTACTATGCAAAATGAATTTTGTGAAGGTGTCTTTGGTGGTTTGAATGAGAAGTCACCCCACAGGCTCCAGTATTTGAATACTCGGTGAGTTGGGATGGTCATGGAACCTTCAAGAGGTCTAGCCTTGCTAGATGAAGCGTGTCACTGGGGGTGGACTTTGAGAGCTCCCAGTTTTGGCCCACTTCTAGTTTCGTTCTCTCCTTCCTTCTTATGCTTAAAGACATGTGCTCTCTCACCTTCTGCTCTGGCCGCCTCTGCTGCCATGCCTCCCAGGTATAATGGACTCTTATCTTTCTGGAACCATAAACCCAATGAACTCTTCCTTCTATAAACTGCCCCAGTCATGGTGTTTTATCATAGAAATAGAAAAGTAAGTAATACAGTTTCTCATCCTATATTTTATAGGCACAAATAAAAGCCCATTTATGGTACTTACAATTAGTAAATAACTTTTCCCCCAAAAGCATTTGTTTGCTTATGAAAATGTTTTTCTCAAAAGTAAAATTGTAAGCACTTACCCCATGACTGACAAGCACATGGCCTCCTCCTTCACAGGAGATAAATATTTATTCTAACCCAAGGTCAGAAACACAATTTAAACTTAAAAGTGATGGCCTATATCAGTAGATTGTAGAACTTGGATGCAACTTACACATCCACTGATATAATAGCTTAAGTAATGTGGGGGATACCTGCTATGGTGAATGTGACTGCAACCCACAGGCCCTGGGAGGCAGAGGGAGCCCTGAGCACGTGGCCTCTGTTGGGAAAAAAAAAAATGAAATACCTTGATGAATGCTGTAAGAACTCTGCATTTTGATAGAAAACTCTGTTTAAAATGTTGATTTAGATTTACTTGCTAAGCTTGCCTGTTCTGCCTGATTTGTATCTACCACACATGGATGATTAACCTAGTTGAAATGCTAAGAATTGAAGTGCTGTAAACCTCCTTCCTGGACCCTGGACCCCAGACTCAGTTGCTTTACAATGTGTCCTGTAGGCCTGTTTGCACATACCAGATAACCGATAAGAAACAAAGAGAAGGAAGTCGCACCAGGCTTACACCAGATCTAGCCTTCCTGGAAAAGATGTTTAACCGAAACTATAGCTTTTAGAAGATGTTTGATCAAAGTGTCTGCTGAGGAATGCTTTTTGTGTAATGACTATGTGGGCCTATATAATCTGTATCTGACACTGAATGGGGGTCGATCGTTCTGACCAGACTTGCATGTCTTGGGAAACCGGTCGACCCCAGCCGGCTGGAAAGTAAAGACTCTGCTTGATTTTTACATCTCCAATCCCGTGTATTTGTTATCTGGAGGGGACCCATCGAGTCACGGACCCTAACAGCCTCAAGTTTGCACAGAGGAATTCCTCTGGACTATAGGAGCCTTGACTTTTTAAATCTTCCTGGAGTGTCCTGAGCCCATTGCTAGCCACCACACTCTAACTATAATGGACTCCTGTCCCCCGGGAAGATGAGACCAAGATCTCAGGCAGCTGAGACTACTCACTCATGTGCTGGCTCAGACTGGGGGATGGCCAGTCCCTAGTAGGTAGGGGTAGTTGTCAGGTTAAAGAGACGCCCCCACACCCAATCTCTCTATCAAATTAATTCATTAGACTTGTTAAGCATTGTATTTGAGAAGATTTCTAATAGTGCATATATTACACAGAGGTGTGTTCACTTTTATTAATAACAAATAAAGCCAGACATCTTGCTTCAATCTGACTATAGCAGACCTTACTTTGCTTTCTTTCTCTTTTGCAGCAGCTCACTAGCTGAAAGTTTCAGGTCATGCTCAAAGACTGATCTATTGTTTTCTTCCCAGGAGGAGGGGAGAAACATTAGGTACCTGGTACCCAGCAAAAGCCAAAGTTATCATGGAATTCCTCAAAATAGTAAAGGATTAGATGAAGGGTTCCTTGCTGGTACAACCAGGTCACAAGCCTAAGAAGGCTTGATGGGTGTGGCTGGCATACTCTGATCTCATCTGGGCTTTGCTGTTCCAGGCTGGGTTGCTTCTCCTGGCTCCCTGCAGAAACTCCAGCCTCCAGGAATTTGGACTGAGTGGTAGGGACATTGCTGGCAGAGATGGCAATCACCAGTTTCCTCCCTGGGCTGTCTTGTGATCCAGAACAGATTCTGCTCCACTCTTTTGAAAAGGGCAGCAGGTTGATGCTAGAGACACAAGAACAGAATCGAACAAGAAAACAACCATTTGATTGAAGAATCAGGTGAGTATACAGCTTATTCCTGGCCAGCAATGGCAGGCCTTGGGTCACTGGGAGACCAGCCATCGAAGTCTGATTGCTGAGGGCTGCCTAGAGGAGCTGCAAGAACTCTTGAAGTAGAACTTGAAGCTGTCACCAATAGCTCTGGACTGGAGCCCACCCTCTCTGCAGAGATGCACACCCAGCCATTCCAGTAGCAGCAAAGTTATTCACGTATTGCATTTGTGCTCAGCTCTGGAAAGCATGGGGGGCGGAGCTGCAAAATAAGAGGATAACTTTCTCTCTGGGGCCTTTATCTATCTAAAGTGAACACCACTGAGCCCCAGGGCCTTGCTTTCAAGCTTTGATAGCAAATGACTTGGACTGGGCCTCTCTCATCAATCTGGTTAAACCAGTTAAAACAGTAAAGATTGCTGCTGCCCATCTGTGTGGCACAGCCACTGAAAGCACTCTGTGCTTCACTGTCTCTTCCAGTGTATGTCCTTAATCCTGGATGTTCTCTCTTCCTCTGAAGGGCCTGGTACAAGGGTATGCACTTTGTATTAGTCTAGTCTCTGTGGAATAATTCACATCACATCATTCTAGTATTCTAGGTCCAATTAGCTCATATGTACATATATGTTCTTGATAGTTAAGTATAGCACTCATGAAGACCAAGATCTGAGTCACAGCCCTGTGGCTTTCCCCATGTCAATTAGTCACTGAGTTCTCTAGACTACAGGTACCATCTCTATAGTTGAGATATGTAGTATGATTGTTAAAATGATTAACCAAGACTGTATAATTATAATATGGAAGATAATCATTGATTATGAATAATATTAAAATTATTCATGATAAACATGGCACAGCTATAAGCTGTGAACTGACTAGAATGTAGTTCTTATGTTCCTTTTCCCAACATAATGATTTGTTTTGATCTGACCAGGGCCTTGCCAAGGTTACACATTCAAGCACACAGTTGAATTTTCAAAAGGATCTCAGCCCAGTAGTGCGGCCTAGGCAGGTGGGGCCATGATGGGTAACCAGGACAGTGCAATGAACCTGTCCCTTTGCCACTTGTAGCTGCTGAGAACAGAACTGGGTATCCCAGTTCTCAGGGGATGAGACCCACTCTTCTCACTCTTACCTGTTTCTCCTCCCTCTGAATTACAGGTTGCCAGCCTCCATGCTGCCTTTCCTGCATGTCACCATCTTTCTCCTCCTCTTCTGCTCCTCAGCAGGAAGAGGAAGCCCCCTTCGTGAAGGCCTGCAGGTGCTGAAGACTGAATATGTCAATAGAAAGCACTAATTTCAACACAGCCTGGTTAGTGCTTCCTTTGGGATGGATTCTGGAGTTTGAAAGTCAACAGCAGTACACAGTGAGTCAGGCATAAGGCACCCACTGAGCTACCCGTCCTTCCCTAGCCATACCACAGCCCCTGCCAAAACAAATCCTGTGACCCTGATGGCCACCAGACAAATGAGCAATCTCTATGGGGGCAAGTGAAGTCAAAGGTGGTTTCTAGAACTTAGTCATTCCCAAAAATTATACCATAGAAGTGCACGTCCCCAGGATTCCTTAGGATCAGTACAGTATGATTCATCAAGTATTGTGGAGTTCTTGCTATACAGACCAAGTTGGGGCAGGGACTCAGCCAGCATAGACAGGTGAGGAAATCTATGAACACAGCAGTTTCATCTCAGAGGGGTAAGCCACATAGAGCCAAGTGCCAATGTGTTTCTGTGAAATAAGTCAGTGCAGGAGCAAGAATGATTCCACTGGAAGGTTAGAAATCTCCCTAGGAGACACAATATGAGCTGAGTTAGGAAGAAGAAATATGTATGAGAACGAAAAGGCAGGAATTTCGGCCTTAAGATAGTCTCTAATATGAGAATTAAGTTGAAGTATGCTTCTGTTTGTATTATCCAGGTGCCTAGATCCTTTCTTTATTGGTTATGTAAAGCTGGTTGGCACAGGGTTCAGGTTCTCTCAGGTTTAATTTGGAGGGAACTGATGGCTTCAGATCACTATTCAGGAGTACTCACAGAAGCCCAATTCAGGTTCCAGTCAGGTACCCTCAGGCTTCCTTCACCACGTGGAGGCAGGATCCGGGGGCTTCCAGGCTGTCCTGTCCCCTGCGTTCTCAGGCCCTCTGCCTGAGGGAGGCCAGAGGGAGGCCAGAACTTGACACTCTCTAGCAGTTTGCTGAGATCAGACCTTCCACACCAATGGAGGTCCGAACCCACCCTCTCAGGCTGTCTGCCAGAATCTCAGCCTTAGCCTAAAAAAAAGATAGTCTCATATAAGTCAGGATGGAGGAGAGGCAGTAAGCAAAGCAAGAGAGGGAAACAGGCCAGACGATCAGTTCTGTTGTCAGGTCCCAACATGGTCCCTGGATAACTGGTTAATTAAGCATGACAATGATGTAAGGACTTCCACAGAGCCCACCAGAGAATCTCCAAATGTCAAGTATGGTAATATCCACACTATGTAAAGCAATAATCACACTATGTGAAATAATAATCCCCCTTACCTTTCTGAATCACACACTGCTTTGTCATTGTAGGGATTCATCATTAATTACTAAGACTAGCAACAGGCCATTCTCAGAGTTCTGTTAATCATTATCTCTGTTTTTTGGTCACACCAGCACAGCTGAGAAGTTAACTGTGCCCTGCTTAAGATTGAATGCCAGTGCTAGACTCCTGCTCCAGCCTAGTCTTGCTTTTCAAAAGTCAGTGCAGATCAACAGCACAGGTGTGAAAAAGCACATATGGGCCTTGGGGCACCATGTTTATTTAACCAGCAGAAGGATCTACCCAAGCTCACAGAGTGGCATGTCAGCCTCTCCTCACTATGTGTCTCAGCACTGTGTGGCAGCCTGGAGCTATGCCAGGCTCTGCCCTGTGGTCTTGAGGCACACTTGAGTTTCAGAAGATACCAGAGAGCCCCAAAGAGTGCCTCTCTCACCATGGGGAAATGCATGTCTCCCGATGTTCCAGTTTCTGAGCATTTCCTTTATCCTCCCAAGGTAAATGAATGAAGACACTTAACATGCAGGCCTCAGAAATGGAGGTGGTCTTCTGGGGAAAGAATTCTGTTTCATGAAGCATTTGGAGTTTTCTTTTGCAATCTTTAATGTCATTTGCTTCTCACATAAACCTCATATAATTGTGAGGCTCGACTAATATTCTCATCTTACAATTAACACAAAAGATAAATGACTTAGCAAAACTCAGCTGATCCAATTGACAAGTGACAGAGCCAGGGTTCGCGTTCTAAATTACCGACTCACATGCTGTTATTTCCACAGTTCCTCACCCCCACTGTAACCCAGGAAGCAGCAGCATCCATTCATAAGCACCTTGCTCTTTTGATTTCTCATGAAAAGCAGCTCCAGCATCCTCTCAGCACAACCAAGCTACTGAAGAGCATCCTACACTTACCCTCTTTTAGTCCTCAAGCAATTAAAATAGCTGCATCAGAAAGACAGTTCCTGTAGCTCAGGAATTTATATACAAGAACCCACTAGATTCAACACCCACCAGACTCAGAACTACAGTCAAATACTGCAGACATATTAAAAAGGAAGACACTTTCCAACTCTCAGATGAGCTAGACGTCTGCTTGGTGGTCACTGTGGGTTTATTTTCTTCTTCCTCTTTTCCTCACTCATCGTCCTCTTAAGATAACCTAATCACAGGCCCTCTCCCAACAAGACAGATGCCGTCTTAATTTGGAGGCAGAAGGCTGAGGGAAAGTCAGACAGCAGTGATGGGATTCCCCTTGAAGAGCTATGAGAACCTGGTCCCTGTTCTCCTATCATTCACTTCTTCCACTCACAAAGGCCAGAAGGCAGCAAATACAGCCAAATAGATGTCTGTGTCCTCCATAGCCCCATGTTCATTTGGAGAACAAAGCTCTCCTGAGCAGGGTGTTCTCCTGCCATTCCTTGCCCTGTGGGCAACAGGAATGGTAAGGCAGTACCACCAGGCAACACTGATCGAGTGTTGTCTGAGCCAAGCCTTGGCTACCTCCTCCCTAAAGCAGGAGAACCATAGGTCTTCCTTCCAAGGGCTGCTTAGAGAGTTCAGTGTGACTGAGACCAAGGAGAGTTCTACATAATGCTTGCGGACCCATTGAGTTTCAAAAACTTATTCTGGTATTGCATATTCTGGAACATACTGAAAAGGTTTTTCCTGTCTGCAGATGGTCAGGCTCAGTGGAGACAAGATTTCACACAAAAACCTACTTCAAGCCACTCACTCTATTACTTCAACGTTTCTGGCTCTAAGAATACTTGCTCCAGGCAGTATAGTTACTTTTCTCTTTGCTGTGATGAAACACCTGACAAAAGCAGCTTAAGGGGAGCTGGGAGACACAGTAAAGTGCTGAATCTGAGAGCCCAGCAGGATATACTGACAAGGCAGGTCCTCAGTCACCGCCTAGCAGTGTTAATCACGATAGTGCACACGATTCTTCCGCCTTTGTGTTGGAAATCCCATCAACCGCTCACTGCACCTGCCATACTGCAGTGTTACTACACCAACAGTATAACTACCTAAACAAGAAGTCTGACTCCCAAATTTAGTTTTTAAGAGTGAGCCTGAACTCAGAGGACACTCATTCCCCCAGATCTCTCTTGGAACCATCTGTCTCCTGAACTGTGCTGACAGAACTGTATTGTTGGAACCCTGTTTCTGGAACTCTGTCCTTGAGTCAGGCCCCACCCATAATTTTATTCAAAATGGTTTCTCCAGCTTCAATTGGGGAAGTACAAACTTGACTCCACCCTAATCTTAACAGACCATCCAGCCTTTTCATCCATAGTTGTAGAATATCTCATTCACCCAAAGTCACACACATCCTTCCGAGCCTTCATTGTGTGCAGTGGAGATGGGGCGCTGCCTTTCAGGGCTTTGATGTGCTAATTCTCAAGCGTACCCACATTCATTCATTCATTCATTCATTCATTCATTTATTCATTATCTTTTTGGGTGGAGCACCAACCAAATTGAGGTTGCCAAGGATACGAGATCAGGTACCCAGACCACAAGACACAAGAACATATGGTTTTGCTGGAGTTAATTAAAAGTCACTAGTCCAGATTATGTCCATTTATAAAAGTCATTCCCACACTGTACCACAGATCTGAATCTCCTCCAGTTCTCAGCAGTGCTCCCAAGTCAGGAAGTCAGGAGAGGACACCTTTGTCACTTCTGGGTTGCTGGTAAACATCCTTGCAGCTGGTTTTCTTTATCACGGTTTCTTCCAACTTTTAAGCTATAGAGTTAGGCTGATCCCTGAGGGGATAATTAAGCCATTTCCAGTGACTTTACATGAGGACACCCATGAGACCAAAAACAGCAATTGGAGGGGGATGGGGTGGGGTGGGATGATCCATCCCAATGCAGCCTACAGCTGAGGGTTCTCCCAACCCCTTATACTCTTTTCTCATACACCCAAAGGTGAGAGATGTCCTGCATGCTGTTTACACCACATTAAACAACTCCAGTCAAAGCACTGAGATGGACCTGGCCTGCACCCTTTTTGTGCAAGCAGGGTTGCCAGTGTCCCCCTGCTTTGTGGAGCAAGTCTCCCAGTGGGCCAACAGCAGTCTGGAGCCAGCCAACTTCACTGAGCCCAACAACACTACCATTGAGGTCTACTAAGGCACATCCAAGCAGATCACAGGTAAAGGTCAGAAGGCTGCAAAGACAGAGTGCTACCAGCACCTGTCAAAAGTCATCATGAGGATGTTCAGGATGCCCTCAATTATAGCAGAAGTCTGTCATGGCAGACCTACCTTTGAGTGACATACAGGTTCTGTGAAGCAACCAAAGCTGGTTTTTGCCCCTCTGCTCATCCCTTGCATACCCTAACATAAACACACATGTGCACACACACACACACACACACACACACACACACACACACACACATACACTCATACTCAAGCACATTATTGTTAAGGTTCAGATAGCCCTGCCCCCTCACCAACAGGATCTCAAGGACTTCTCATGCTCCTGAGAAAAGGGAACTTTTCTGATAAGCACCTTGGTCTTTGAAGTCAAGAGAAGCAGGCTTTACTCCGCTGTTTGGCCAACACAGCAGGCTTCCCCTTTGATCTCTAAAGAGAACAGGTTTTAACAGTCTTGCTCCCTCCTCCCCCAACTTTAAAAAAAATACATCTTCCTGCCTTCTGCAGGAAGCAGAAGCCTCCCTGCCTGGAAGGGAATCTGTCCCATGTGTTCCTTTGCTAATAAACCCTATTTTGATGGAGTTTTATCTGTGTCCTGGTGCCTCCTCCTCCATTCACTCATTCTCCGCCAACTTTTTACCTATCAATTATATATAAATATTATACATAAATACACATGTGTGTGCATACACGCTCCCTGTCACCATCTACAGGTGAGTTCTCACCAAGTTCTGTTCTCATCTACAATCAACTCTCTGTGACAGTAAAATGTAGCTTCTGCAGAAAAGTGGCTTCTGGGGAGCTTAGGTTAAGGAAACACACAAAAGAAAAGGTTACATGCAGTAAGATGTTACACTTGGTTTTCCCGGAGGCTTACTATCCATAGCCTCACCATTAGCAGCAAGGAATGATTCTATACATTACAGCACCAGCCACCATGCTACTCTAATTGTTGTGAAGTATGGAAATCATTGACATTTACTGAGCTTTTGTTTATTTAGCACTGTCAGAAATTAACTATCCCAGTTCACTCTCAAAACAATCCTAGGAGTTGGGTACTATCTCCAGAGGAACTGAGGCACCAAGAATTGAGCTTTGTGCTAGCCAGAGGTCCCCTAAACCAGGATTCTGGCCCAGGTGGTTTGGCTGCCACATTCTTGGTAAACACCTAATAGATGCCAATGGGGAGGCTACAGTCCAGATTCCATAGGTGCCTCACTGTCCCAGAGCAAGGGTGCAGTCATCGGGAACCCAGTGTGAATTCAGTGTTCTTGCTTTTTGTTTCTGTTCCCAACACATGGCAGTAAGTTAAGAGCAGTAAGCATGGCCTTGGGCCCCCTGGCAGCACACGGAACTGAGTCACGGAATTAAAGTCTTTGCAGAAAACTGAAAAAAAAACAAAAACAACAACAACAACAACAAAAAAACAAAAAACAGAGAGAGAGAGGGAAAAAAAAGAAGAAATAAGCTCTTTTGCTTGTAGGTGAGAGCCCAGGTGGCCCACTGTGGGAGCAGGTTGCTGCCCTGTCAGCTCAGTTGGCAACTGTGAGCACTATGACCTTCCAAAACACCTGGCAGAGAAGATTCTCTTCCATAGCCTCACAGCCCCTGCCTTTCACGTGTGCTCAGGGCTTTGTCCTCCAAGTCCCCATGATGCACCAAATGGCAGAGGTCAGCTATGATGAGTCCTCCTCCTTTGGTGAAAGTGAGAGGAAAGCAGCTGCAGGGCAGGAGAGGGAAGGCGGGGCCCTCTGCTGTATAGGACCTGATCAAAGCTGTTTCCATGGGGTTCTATCTTCTGGGATGTGGGTTGGGCTGAAGAAAACTTCAGCCTAGGGTGGTATGCCTGCAGGACACCTAGGACACACATTCAGGATGAGTCCAGTTTCATGCTTCACGTTTCCCTCTACACCAAGTAAGAAGGGAATTCCAGTGAAACCAAAAGTGTTTGGACAAAACACCTCCCCTAGCAGGCACCTTCATACATGGCACCCAGTCAGGACCAAATGGACTCTACAAGGCTCTCCACAAGTCTCCAGACTGAAGGAGTCCCTGGTCCTGAAATGCCCCCTCCCAAAATCCACACCCACCCTTCCTACATTTACTCATCCCAGTCAGTGGAGAAGTTCCCAATGCTAGCATGAGCCTGGTAGCCTCCTGCATGCTGTAGATTCCAGCGGGTCTGTACTGTGAGGACGGGCTGCAGCACCTGGTGGGGCCACCCTGCACTCGTCCCCATCCTCCTCTTCACCCTTTCCCTCCCAGCCCTCACAATCCCCTCCATTGTCCCAATCCCCATACCTCTCTCCCCATCATCTTCCTCCTACCCCAGCTCTCCCTTCTTTCCCCTCCACCTTCCCTCTCCTCCAGCCCTCCCTCCTCTCCTTTCTACTGTTGCCCTCCCCATCCTTCCTTCCTCTCTGCCATCCCCTCCCCCAACCCTCACAAGCCCCTCCATTGTCCCCCTCCCCATACCTCCCTCCTCTTCACCATCCCACTCCCCAGCTCTCCCTTCTTTCCTCTCCACCCCCCTCCCCCAGCTCTCCCTCCTCTCTACCCTCCCCCCAACAGCGCCTGACCCTCCTGTAGCTCCTGTTCTGCTACCACCTGTCACCTGTCCCAGCACATCTTCTGAAACCACACTCTGCCTGGTGACGTGTCCTCAGCCAGCAATCTTCCTTTCCCACAGCTCCCAGCTGCCTGTCCTAAGACCTTCTAGTCTTCTTTGCAGTTACAGATGACCCATCTCCAAATCAAACCTGACCTGAGTGCATGTTTTGTTGGGTCTGTGTTAAATTTCCATATGAAATATAGATTTTACAGTGTTCTGGAAAGACAGGAAGACCTGACACAAAGAGCCTGGATCCTGATAGCCCAGACTGGACAGGCTCCCTCAAGATACAGTCCCATCAGGTCCAGCTGCTTCAGATCCTTGAGTCAGGCCTTATGAAGGTGCCTTAGAGGCTCTGGGCTTTAGGATCAGTAAAGGGCACTGTGTCTCAACAGTGCTCAGCCTCAGAGTGTTTCCAGAGGTTGCGGTAGACCCCATTTTACTGCTCCTGGTCTTGTGAATCTGTTCTCCCAGGCTATGGCATTGTTTGGTCTCCCTGGCTACTGGGACACAGCTGATTCCTGCCTGACCCCCTGAACTTCCAGGCCAGTTCCAGGATGCCGCAGGCCATGAGGTGGGCGTTCTGGAGCTGTCATACCTAGAAGGGTGGCCAATCTGTTCCTGGGGCTGCCTTGGGACAAAGACATGCCCCTGGACCACATTGAGCCACACCTTACAGCCAGAGTCATCCACCTCTGGACTACCCGACTGAGGAGAACAGGATGGACGTGTTCCTCCCCAGGTGAGTGGCTATATCTTTCTTACAAAGGACACTGCAGTGGCAGCCTGAGGGTCAGAGTTGGGTGGTCAGACTCCAGGGTCCTCCTACCGAGCTGGCTTGTCAAATGCACCCCTTGGCTAAGCCAAGAAGAAGTGCCCTGGAGTTTTAGTCCATTCTAAAGTCACTGAATAGCCCATGACACATACTGAGCTGAACTAACTTCCTGGGTCTTCCCAAGAGGAAACATTCAGTCCTCACTGGGAAGACTGAAGTCCCCAGACCTTTTGTTCCAGTTATACACCACAGCAGGGCAAGGAAGCCCAGTGAGGTACCTTGTAGGAGTATACAGCTATCATTTCCCCCAAACCAAAGAAACACACTGGCTTATGTGACTAAACAAATATACACATAATTCTAGTCAGAAGCCAAATTAAGTCACAAAAATCCAAGACTTTGCCAGGCATGGTAGCACATGGTTGTAAGCCCAATACTTGGGAGGCAGAGTCAAGAAGGATTGAGAGTTAATACCGGCATGGGCTATAGAATGAGTTTCAGACTAGCCTGAGTAGATTCATGAGATCTTGTCTCTAAATTATTAATTAATTAATTAATCAATTAATTAATAATCTTTAAATTTTAAGACTTCAAGCCAGGCATGGTGGTGCATGCCTTTAGTCCCAGCACTCAGGAATCAGAGGCAGGCAGATCTCTGTGAGTTCCAGGCCAGCCTGGTCTACATAGTGAGTTCCAGGACAGCTGGGGCTCCAGGAAGACCCTGTCTCAGAAAGACCAAAAAAAAAGGAAATTCAAGACTTCAAGTCCGGGTTGAGGACTGTCTTCTGTTCTAGGTAAAGAAAAATCCCTCCTTGAACAAAATCCAGTAGATTCAAATACAAGTTGCCCCAAACCTTTCTTTTCCAAAGCAAAACTTACCAAAATTCATTATTTTACAACAGGATTCTGTCCAGAACTTTTTAAATGATAAGCTCCTCTGGGACATTTGTAACAAGAACAAATTGCTCTTTGCTTTGCAGACCAGCATTAGGCACAAAGAGCTATCCAGGGGCTTGGTGGTAGCATGTCTCACTCCAAGGCGAGGGCTCCCAGAGGGCAAAGGCCTTGACAATGCTCCCTCAGCAGTTAAAAATACACCCATGTCCTGGAACAAAAACGCACAGGCTGAGAGACACAGAGAGGCAAGGCCAAGGTCTAAAATGGTATCAGGCATTGCCCAGGGCCAAAGGTGAACTCAAGATAAAACCCATCTCTCAAAGCCAAATGCTCAGTCCTTGCCCAAGCCTGATCTCCTGGGCATCAGCAAAAGGAAGGAGCCTTGCCATCAGGCACAGAGAGAAAGTGCAGCTCACTGCAGGAGTTACCTGACTTGGATTTAGATGAATAGTTGGCCTAGAGCAGCTGATGTAAAGGAGAATCACACAGAAACACCCAGCTCACTGGAAAACGCACCACTGACTTCTGATTCCAAACCTTCAGTAGCGATCCTGCGAAACACAGAGGGCAGAGGAGGAAGCAAAGAAGGCACCCAAAGGACCAACAATGATATAAACAACCTCATTTGGATAAATATTTTAATTTTTTATGTGTATGAGCTTTGGCTATGTGTAAGAACATGCAGTACAATGCCCTTGGGGGACAGAAGAGGGTGTAGGATCCCCTGGAATTGGAGTAACAGACAAGTGTTAGCTGCCATATGGGGGCTGAGACTCAAACCCATGTCCTCTGCAGGAGCAGACAGTGCTCCTAACCCTTGATAAATATTCTATTTCCCCCAAAGTATCAAACCTATCCTAGAAGAATAGAAGTTGTTTTTTGTGTGTGTGTTTTCAATATAATTTATTATTTATTATTATTTTTTTATGTGTATGAGTGTGTTGCCTGCATGTATGTGAGTGCACCCATGTCCTGCAGTGCCGTGGAGGTCAGAAGAGGGCTTCAGATTCCCCTGGAACTGGAGTTAATGATGGTTCATAGCCGCCATGTGGGTGCTGGGAATCGAACCCAGGTCCTCCGCAAGAGCAGTCAGTGCTCTTAACTACTGAGCCATCTCTCCAGCCCCGAGAATAGAAGTTTTAGGAAAATGAAACCATTTATTTCACAAAGTCAACTTTAAAAAAACAAACAAACAAAAAAACAACCTGCTAGCTGTTAACTCTTTAGGAAATAAACTGAAAATTTTAAACTTTTAAGTCTAGATTTAGACATATACCTTGGACCACAGTAGACACGGCCAGCTTTTGAGTAAGAATTTACCTCTAGTTCTTTCAAATCATTCATTCACCATTTAGTACAACATGCTCTGTAAGCAGCATACATATTTCATTGAACAAGAGCAAAAAGATCTTACACTGTGTGTGCAACATGAGATGTAAGCAGTCAGTGCTTACATCACCAAGCAAGCAATGCACTAAGGTGAACGTCGCTTTCCCAAGGAACCCTTTATTTATAAGGAAAAAAATGAAGTGCATAGTGACTATTGTTAATTTTCATTAAGAACATATAACCTATTAAATAAGAAAACAAAGAATGCCCTCTTCTGGACTCCATGGGCACTGCACACAGTGGTGCACTTATATACAGGCAGGCAAAATACTCATACACATAAAATAAGTACATCTTTTTATTTAAAAAACACCCCACTCTCATGGGAACTGCAGGAACTATATTAATACCTTCCAAAAGTTGTGCCCCCAAGCAGTCACCTTCCCCTAGGCCACACTTCTTAAGGGTCCTACCAACTCAATTTCATCACCTTGGGAGCCAAACTTCCGGCACAAGCAATAGTCAAACTATATTGAAAAAGACTAGGCGCCATGAGTACTCATGAGCCCACATGTTTAAAATTGACAAAAACCAGGACCAGCCTTATCAAAAGGCTGCAGCAGGCAGGCGTCGGTCAAGCCTCACAGATGAAGCCATAAAGCAAGACAGAACTCCTGACCACCCTGGGGGCCCGATACCAGGAAATCTTTAGAAAACGTCTGTGCTTCTGAGGTCACCTCCCATTTAGCAATCCTATTTCCCCTCAGCCCCGGACCTTACCCCATACCCCTGCATACCTTTGAAATTACTGGTAAAATTACTATGTGTGTTTGAAATTAACCAATAACCGCGTTTCTGCTTCTGTACCCTGCTTCTGCCTTATAAAAACCCCCTGAACTCAACCTGGGGTGCGCAAGTCCTCCGAGGAGACTCTGTGCCCACAGGTACCTGTGTATCAAATAAACCTCTTGCTGTTGCAACCCGAAAGGCTGACTTGTCCTCAGTGGTCTCACTCTTACAATATAACTTTTTAAAACCCACCAGGTCTCACTTATCCAAAATGAGTTTTGCTCTTCCTTCAAGGAGCTGTGACCATCATGATGTGTGGCCTATGCTTTTCTAAGAACATTTTCTTCCCTTTAAGAAAACATTGGGATGCAGTCTACATTAAAGTCACTCTTTTAAAGTGCACAGTACACAATCTTTTAGTGTGTCTACAAAACTGTGCTGCCATACATATGAATTCTGATTTTTTTTTTGAGACAGTCTAATGTAGCCCAGGTTGGCCTTGAACTCACCATGTAGCCAAGGATGACCTTGAACTTCTGATCCTCCTTTCTCTGGCTCCTGAATGCTGGAATCACAGGTGTGTACCACCACCCTTGGGTTACGCAGTGCTGGGAATTGAACTTGGGTCTTCATGCACACTGGGCAAGCACTCTGCCAATTGATCTATAGCCCCAGCTTCAAGTTCTGAAAGATTTTTATCACCACAAAAAGAAACCTCATATTCATCAGCAATCACTTCTCAGTCCCAGACAGTGCTAATTTACTCTGTGTGGATTCATCTCTTAGGGACATTTCATATGAGTTAAATCATCCAGTGTGTGTGTTTTTTTCCCTTCTTTCACCCAGCATAAAATTTTAGCAATCCATCTCTTTTTAATGGCTCATTGATAGTATATTGCATGGATATACTACATATTTTTTAAGCAGTCCTAATTTATAAATAAGTGCCAACATATTTTAAAATCTGTATCCACTCTGGGCTACCACAAGCACTCACATCCATATTGTGTGTGGATATATTTTTTCAGTGTCCTTGGATTTGTCCTAGTAGTACAATTAATTTAGGTGTTAACTCTGCTTTGTCCAGTTTTAAATGTTTTCTGGGTGGCTGCACCATTTTCTGTTCCTGAACCTCGCTTGCAGGTTTCAGTTTCTCCACATCCTTGTCCATTCTTAGCCATCTTTCTGCTCAGAGCCATCCCAGTTAGTATGAAGAGGGAGCTGACTGTGGCTTTGAGCAGTTCCCTAAAGACTCACATGATACTGGTATCTTTTCATATGCTTATTGGTCTGTTAGTCCTTTTGGGTTTTGTTTTGTTTTTGTTTTGAGACAGAGTCTGCTGTAGCCCCAGCTGGCCTCAAACTCACTATGTAAACCAGGCTGGCCTAGATCTCACAGAGATCTGCCTGCCTCTGCCTCCAGACTGCTGAGATTAAAGGCATGTCCCACCACACCCAACTATTTACCAGCTATTTACCCACTTTAAAGTCTCAGTTGCTTTTCTTTTGATTACTTGTTATAGTTTAAGTCCTAGATTCTAGTCCCTTGTCAGACATTTGGTGTGTAAACATTTTTTCCGTTCCTATGGGGTGTCTTTTCACTTTTTTGATATAGTGTCTTTTGAAGTACAAAAGCTGTTGATTTTGATGAAGCTTCATTAACTTATGTTTTCTTTTCTTTCTTGTGCTTTTCATGTCATATCTAAAACATCATTGCCTAATCTCAAGGATTTATGTCCACTTTTTCCAAGAATTTTATAGGTCCCATTCTTACTTTTAGTCTTTTGATCCGTGTGAGTTATTATACCCTCGACAACATGGAAGGCTGAGGAATGCCAACTTCCCTTGTAGAAAGTCTGCATGTAACTTTTGGCTCCCATAAAACTAACAACCTACTCTTGACTGCTCTTACCCCAACAGCAAACAGTTAAGCAACATGTATTGTTATATGT